GCCTAGCACAAACAAATAATTTTGACGCCGGTTCCTATCATAATCATTGTATAAGATACCTGGCCCTAACACCCTAGTCCAATCGCTACGGCCCCTGCATTATGCTGCGAAACCACAGTGCTGGAGCCGCTGATTTCCTAGGCCCGAGGTGTACCAACGCCAGCTGCGCAGAGTCGGACGTGGAACCGTCCCTTCGCGCGGCAGTGTAGTGACGAATGCAACTGACATGAGTTTGCCTGCACAGAGACAAGAGACGACAAATGCGCAAGTGCAGAAAAAGCAGAATGACACTGGGATCAGTGTTCTGATTTTCGCAGTTGGCAGTTACTTGACTTGATTTTATTTTCTGCTGCCATGTTGTAGATTAGTGCAGCATGCACCTTTTGACAGAGTGGCAGTGCGACCGATGCGAAGTATGGGCTCGAGGTGCCTTCTTTTCGTTTTGCTCTGGTGCGGGCCATGTCTTGTTTTCGTGCTGCGCTGGAGTTTGCGTGGCGACAGCTGGCGTCGCTTTTCGTGTTGAACGGCCTGGAGCGATCGCCTGGACCCCGTGGGAAGTGCAGTGCTCCCGACAAGGGGTACCTCTGTATTGTCCCCTGAGGACGCACGATCCCAGGCCGACTCGGTGTTACTTCGATCTAAGGTGCACCTGACCATCATTCTTGCTATCCCGGTCCCGGACGTTGTCTCCCACGAGCTTGGGGCAGCAGCTTCCCGCAATCGCATATTGGCTGCAGTTGCTGAAGACCGCGGGTTGCCTTGAGGCCCATGTTGTGACATTGGAAGCTGCACGGGACAGCTTTTGCGTGAGGAGGTGCAAAGATGGTAGCTAGAGTTGCTTCCTCGCATCCAGGTAGAAAGAGGCAGCGAGCCTCGTTTACAGCGGCGATCGCTGCAGCGGCCCGGCTGAGAGCGCCCGGGCACTTCAGGAATTAGATGATGAGGTTTTGGCTCGGACCACGGTGGGTCCCATGGAGTCTCGCCCCCTGGTGTGGCGCCGGTTGTGCGAGTGGTTGCATTCCTTCTGGATGTTAAGTACATTCGGGCGGTAGGAGCATCGCTGAAAAGGGGCAGTACCGGTCAGCCTCCCAATACTATTCGACGTCGGCTGCACATTCCGGTCTCTCCTTAGGCCAAGGCTTGGATTCGGGACTGCATCATACCAATCAAACGAGGACTGGGGCCGGCTGCCCTGCAGGACTCACTCAATGTGTGCCGTGAAGTGATGATTCGTTTGCTGCTGTCAGTGCACAAAACCGCCACGGCGCGGGATCTCACAGCAAGAAGCTTGGCGCGCGGATGCGTTATCCGGCGGCAGCCGCTGTGCCCATATCACGCGGCGCAAAGGCATCTGAAAGGCTGCTTTGGCCAAAAGATACGGCCGAGAGCCGGCTGTCAATAACCTGCTGGCGTGCTTCTGGTCAGTGTCCTCACCAAAAGGCTGGCATCCCCACTTTGAATAGGTGCCGAGCGACCTGAACATTCATGTGAACGTTGCTGATCCTTTTTCTAGGGGCGATGCTTTCAGCGGCCGGGCGCGTCAGTCTGATCTGCGAGATCTCTGGCTGATATTTATCAGAGTCGCGCAAGACTTTGATTTTGGGGTTGAGGGTGCGGTGCTCCGTCAGCTCTTTTGAACTTGCCGTGGTCTTTCAGCTATATGTGGGGCGATAAAGCCTCGACACCTGCTGGGACTACGGGCTGTGACGAGGCGGTGACGAATGGTCACTGCCGCTGCCCGTTTGTGTCGAACCTCTGCGGCATGGATTCAGACTGCGCTGCAGGAGCCAACCAGAGGGTGAGAAAAGAGTGTTTGCGATTATGCCATAAGGCTCACGATTAGTGCAGCATGCACCTTTTGACAAAGTGACACTGCGACCGATGCGAAGTATCGGCTCGAGGTGCCTTCTTTTCGTTTTCCGGCCCACCTCACCCTGTACAGAATGGATCTGGCCGGAGGTTCTCTCGGGACGTAGGTGACGAATGGTCACAGCCCGTTTGTGTGGAACCTCTGCGGCATGGATTCAGACTGCGCTTCAGGGTCCAACCAGAGGGTGATAATAGCGTGTGTGCGATTATGCCATAAGGCTTATGCACTCGGTTCATAAGATACTACATGTTGTCGGATACTGTCGAGATAACTTGGATTGTCCGAGTTGGTTGTCTCCTGGCATTACATGGGGTCGAGCACGAGGTGCATGCGGAGGGTTCCGCCAACTTGAGCGAACCCCGTCAATACATGGGGGGAAGCACGGAAGGTTCCGCCAACAACCGTTTTGTGGTCCCGCAAGTCTGCCAGTACATGGGAGAAGATTTTTGTCCATGGTCCTGTGCTGTGGCCGGGGGTCTCTGGGTGGTCTCCTGTCTCCTTGTCCTGGTGGTCGCGGTCGTCCTGGTTGTACTGGTGGTCCTGGTGTTTTTTATCGTGTTGGTCGTCAAGGTCGTTGTGGTGCTCTATCACTGCTTGGGGATCTACGCATAGTTTTGTTTATTCATTCTTGAATTCCACCCTGGATCATGCCCCCGTACGACAGATACAGTCATCAATGCATTCAGTTACCAGGATGAGGGTCGTCGCGGAGAATATTCCGCAAGTGTGCTTGCACCTACACATGCGCCATCCTGGACCTTGGACCCCTCCTGCTGATGTCGAGCGGAAAACCCGGATGCAACTGCGTTTGATCTCCTTCCAACTTCTCTCCATGGAGTGCAAGTTGCTCACTGCTTGTGTCAAGCTTTTTGGAATGCTTTTGGAACCGCGTTTGCATTATTGAGTCGTGTTACAGTTTGACGTGGTTGACCGGAAATGCTCGGATCCAGAAATGGTGCAAGTAGCTTCGTGTTGTGGTTTGAATCCGCATTTCCGCAGCGCGACCCATGAATCGTGGGGGGGCCAAAAAGCCGACCGTGAACTGTCAAGGCCACAGCTCATCGAACCAGGTTCCTTCAGCTGCCGGCTCATTGCAGTCGGATAGCAGGTTGCTTTTGGCCTATGTATGCTTTGTGCGCAAATGCACCGTAATCCGTGCACAGTGCGCTCGCAAAAAAACCACAGGGTTCAAAACGCACATGTGCCACGCGCTAGGCGTATAAGGACAGTTGTGATTCGATCTTGGCTGCGTGGCATGATCATTGCTTCGCTGGCTTCCATCTTTCTATGCCCACGCGCAGCTGGTTAGTCCACATCCGGACCGTTCGACATGCGTGTCCGACAATCAGACTAATCAGACTGCAGCCACCGTGCCCTGTCTGGTGTCCGAGCGAACAGGCAGAAATATTTTTCAATGGTTGTTCCAAGACAATCCACAAACAGTTGCTGACGACAGACCTTGTTGGCGTGGAGGGTGTCAAAAATGCACTACATCACCATTTGCCAAATGGGGTTCGCTAACCGCCAAAGCAAGAACATCGGCATGCTTAAGGCCAAACTTGGTGGCTCGACCTTCAAACTAAGTACCCAGCTAACTCTAGCCCCGTCCAACTCATTTTCCAAGATACAGCCACCGTCAAGCAACCATGCAAAATGCCCGGCAGCATTGCCAATAAAGTATGGGGTGCGCACGAGTCTGGCCTTCCACTTTGCATCATCTAGCCTGGCTGGACTGCCCAAGCCATCGTAGTCCTCGATGCCTATCATCATTTTCGTTTCGGCCGTTGGGCCCTTCCCACGAACGGCATCGGACTCATGCAAGGATGCCATGTCCTGGACATCATTCGATGCCAGAGGGTTGATTTCACTCGCTTTGGCTTTATTGGTTGCATGACTTTCACACAACGGATCCCACGGTCCAACTTTTTCTTAACAACAGGCCAAACCAGAGTTTGCAAGCATGTCATTCCAAGCTGCTGTAATCCCCACCGCTGTTTTGGAACGCGCCGGACGCACACTCGGGTACAGTAAGCTGTGGCCCGGTCATGTGTGACGATAGCCACACCTCTCCGTTCAATGCTAGGGAATGCCTTCGCCGCTGTTCCGCGTACTGCTGCTATGCCAGCCGTTGCGCCGAGAACGATCGAGAACGCCTTGACATGCCTTGACCCACTTTGTCGACCACACAGCTGCATGCGTGACTTCCGGCGTGCTCGCCTCCCGGGCAATCGATGTTCCGGTCTCCCACGACCGCCGCATCGAAATCGTAGCGAACGGGTTGGCCTTGTGGCATGGCTGGTTGACCATCGTCTCTCCCATCACTAGAGCAGGTGATGCCCAGCCCGGTGCAAATGCGCACCCCGTCATGGAGCCTTTAACTGGCACCGGATGCTCGGATGCTCGCCGCGCACACTGCGTCAGGGGTGATTGCGGCAACAATACGAACAACCGGACCTACAGCATGGGTAGGCCAACAGGAGGGTTGGTTGGCTGTCGCTGCGCAAACCTCCGTCACCGCGTCGTTGCTGGAATTCCCACATGCCAGTATGAGTGCAACGTCGCTGTCGACGCACCCGAGCTGCACGAGGTCCTTGCAGACGTGAGTTGGCAGCTCCCTATGTTTGGCAGCCG